TGGATATGTTGTTGTTGTTGTTTTTCCAACAAATTAATCACTTTGCCTGTCCCTCTCTCCTTATGTATTGCTATTGCCTACCATCGACCTCCAGCGCTGTTTAGCGAGGTCACGGCAATTAATCTTAAAGTGAGCCGACTTTCCTCTAATTAGAAGCCATAAAAAAATATCTCTACCTTGAAAAAAAAAAAGTAGATTTGGTAAAATTCTCTCTAATTAGTACGCATGTGTAGGCTATGTTTGGTAAACTTAAAATAGCTGATAAACTAGCTGATAGTTTATCGATAATTTTTGAATTTATAGCTTCTAGCTGAAAAGCTAGCTTATATGATAAAAATGTTTGGTAAAATTAGCTGATAAGTTTGCTGAAAAAAAAATTTCAACGAACTTATTTGAAAAGCTACCAAAAGAAGTTTATCAAATAAGCCCGAATCTTTTAAAGAAGCTCGTCCTACGAAACGAAGTTTATTTGAATACAAAGAGCTTATAAACTAACCAAATAAGCTATAAACTAGCTTATTTGACTACAAAACACAGCCGTAACATGGTTTTCGATCTACATTTTCTTTTTGTTCAAGCTTTGTTAAACAGATTTGTAATTTGGGCTAACATTGGGTATTAAAAATGCTATTTACTCGAGCAAAATTTAAGAAAGAAGGGGAAAAAAAAAAGAAAGAGAAAATCATTTTGGAAGTTCGCGAATATTTTGCAATTTGGAAGTAAGAAAAAGTGGGATAATAAGGGGTGCCTTTTTCTTATATGCTTGTTTGCTTTCAAACTATGGATATAATATTTATTATTATGAGCATGGAATATTTTTTTTTTTTTTTTGGTTATTTTTCTAACCTAAAGTAAAAAAGTACAGTAACTTTCATATCTCTGCATGCCACTATATATATACACGTTGTCCTTTACACTACAAAATTTTTACACTACAGTTTTCAATCAGAAACTGACAATTGCATGTTACCCTATTCAGTTTGGGTAACTCAATAATCTCTTCACAAATTTATATTAAATATTAAGAGAAATGGAAACGCTATGGTCCCGTTACGTTATCATCTCATCTGGTATTTTAATAGTTGGATCATCTATCTTATACTAACTACCACTACAAGAAAACACTTCCATTCCAACGAAAAATTCCAACGGCAAAAATTTTCGTTGGAAATTCCAATGAATATTCCAACAAACTTAATTTTATGTTGAAATAAGTGTTGAACGATTGAGGAATTCCAACGGATTTTTTCCGTTGGAATAGCTGCAGAAATTTATATTCATAGAATTTTCTGTTGGATTTTAGCATTCCAACGGCCGTTTTTCTCACGAATTTTTATACACAGGAATATCTTTGGAATAGTTATTCCAACGGAAAATATAAAGAATTCCAACTGAAAATTTTCGTTGGAATGTAAGAATTTTTTTGTAGTGTACATGTGTATCCAACAGTTATAACTCCGGACGAGATGCTACCGTAATGAGACCGTAGCATTTCCCAGAGAGAAAAAATCTTGTACTTTAAACATTAACAAAAAACAAAGTATTCGTAAATATCATAAGATAAACTAATATTTTATATTCAGTTGACCGAGTTAATTATGATAAAATTTGATACTCCCTCCTTTTCAAAATAAGTGTCGTTTTGACTTTTTTGATTCATCCATTTTACTATGTATCTAGACATATTTATGTCTAGATACATAGCAAAATGGATGAATCAAAAAAGTCAAAACGACACTTATTTTAAAAAGGAGGTAGTATTATATAATATTTGTTGGCGCACGTAGGATCGTGGGTCATGCACGGTTTGTTTGTCAATAATGTCAATACGTATATTTTGTAGCTAATTAAGACATGGGGTTCGTCACTAGCTCCACCATGACTTTCTTGGCGCGAACAGTATGCAACTAAACCTTTAAGCTTTGGTCTATCCATTGTACCAAAAAAAAAAAGAGCAATTAGTCACCATAGAGATATGGGTGTAACCAAGACTTCTCCTCCTTTATATTCGACTGAGAGAGGTGGAGGGGGATTTCAATTGCATCCTCCGGGCTACGGAGAGACGTGGAGGGGCTGCCTCTCGTTTTTTAGTTAACCAAGACTTCTCCTCCTTTATATTCGACTGTGAACTCCAGGAAGTCCGGACTGATGGGTTCCTGTATACCTGGTCGAGGGGTGATTTGCATCAAAAGCTCGATAGGTTTATAGCGAACTCGGCTTGGATTAATACTTTCCAAAGAGGGTTCGTCCAACAGCTTCATCGCACTAATTCCGATCATTTCCCGCTGCTAGTTCATTGCTCTGTCCCTCATACTCCACATACACGTCGTCACCCATTTAAATTCCTTGCGGCATGGCTCATTCATGATGGATTCTCAGATCTTGTGCACCAATGTTGGAATGGAGCAGACTACCTAGAAGCCGCACATGCATTTCAGATATCGGCCAGTGAGTGGAATTTTCGGGTCTTCGGGAATATTTTCCACCGGAAAAATAAGCTGCTAAGGCGGCTGGCAGGCGTACAACGGGAGCTCCAGAAATACACAACTCCGCGTCTTCTACATATGGAGCTAGAGTTTCGTAAAGAGCTAGAAGAGGTGTCTCTACAGGAGGAGTTACTAATGATTCAAAAATCTACTCGGGATTGGATGCTTTTTGGCGATCGCAACACCGCTTATTATCATCGATCAGTAAAGCACCGTCGTCACCGTAACAAAATTGTCTCCCTCACCGATTCTAACGGGGCCCAGGTCGTGGATCAGAAGGATATGGAACGTATTGCAGTGGCATACTTTCGTGATATATACATGGTAGGTGGGCCAGACCCAAAAGTGGTGTTACCGAACTTATTCCCGCCATTGAGTTCCCGGCTTGTTTTCAATATGGAATGTGAGGTGAGTGACGTGGAAATTTTCTCGATTCTAAGGGACATGCACCCACTTAAAGCCCCGGGCCCGGATGGCCTCCATGCAATATTTTTCCAGCGGCAATGGCAGCATGTTGGACCTTGGGTATGTCAGCTGATCCGAAGAGTTTTTCGGGAAGGTGTTGTGCCTGTGGAGTTCAACAAAACGATTCTTGTTCTCATCCCAAAGGTAGATAACCCTGGCTCGATCAACCAATTCCGACCGATAAGCCTGCTTAATGTTTCCTACAAGATTATCACTAAAATTCTTGTGAATCGTATGAAGCCAACGCTCCCCTTATTGATTGGACAGTCCCAATCGAGTTTTGTTCCAGGGCGACAGATTACGGACAATATTATAGTCACCCAGGAACTCATCCATACGCTGCGTACCAAATCCGGTAAAAAGGGATATATGGTTATCAAAGTCGATTTGGAGAAGGCTTATGATTTTCTTCGGTGGGATTTTATTGAGGAGTCATTGATACTCGCTGGATTTCCCAAGAGTGTTATTCGTGTTGTCATGGCTTGTGTCACGTCAGCCTCAATGCAAATACAAGTTAATGGGAAGATTACCGAAAGCTTCTTTCCTTCGAGGGGCGTGCGTCAAGGAGACCATATATCTCCGTATTTATTTGTCTTATTCATTGAGAGACTTGCCCATTTAATCCAAACCTGAGTCAATGATGGTCAGTGGAAGCCGATTCACGTGGGCCAAGGAGCAGTTAAGATACCTTATCTTATGTTTGCCGATGATTTACTCATATTTCTTGAAGCAACAGACGATCAAGCATGTTTCGCCAAAAACATGTTAGATGTTTTTGGTTCCCAATCTGGGCTCAAGGTTAGTCAGATAAAGACAACAGTTTTTTTTCTCGAAAAATGTTCCACGAGTTCGCCAACAGGAGTTAGCGAATTTGCTCTCTTTTACCCGAGTGGATAGCCTTGGGAAGTACTTGGAAGTACCTATGATTCATGGAAGGGTTACAAACCGGACCTATGCAAAAATTGTTGACCAAGTGGAGAACAGGTTGGCGGGGTGGCGACCTAATGCGCTATCTCTAGCCGGCAGATGTGTGCTTACCCAGTCAACTCTGAGTACTCTGCCCTACTACACCATGCAAACGGCATGGATCCCCTCCTCGATTTGTGAGGGGTTGAATCCCGTTGTCGTACTTTTTTGTGGGGTGGCAATGGCAACACTCGGAAAATCCCCCTTGTCTCATGGGACGTGGTGTGTCAACCTAAAGAGGCGGGTGGTTTGGGCTTGAAAAGACAACGAGAAATGAACATGGCCTTTATTATGAAGCTGGGATGGATGCTCCTGACGAAACCGACCGCATTATGGGTGCGACTAATGGTGGAAAAATACAAACTCCATCTGTGCAATATGGGAGAGGATTTCAATTTTCCGAGAGGGTCCTCTATTCTTCGGGCTATTGCGAAGGTTTGGTCGAAACTTTTAAACGGGATCAGATGGTCGATTGGCAACGGCCACCGAGCCTTGTTTTGGCGAGACAGATGGCTACATCACTCGATGCCCCTGTATAAATTGGCGACGGGACCGAATCCAGCGGAACAATGGGAACTGACGGTTTCTAGATTTGTAACTGTTTTCGGCGAATGGAATTGGAGACTTTCCGATCGGGTCTTGCCGGCGGGGGTTCTTCTGCCCATTGCTTCTGTCCTTCCCCCAAACCATCTGTCCAGCGACGACAAAATGTACTGGGGATTCTCAGATTCAGGAAGATTTACGACCAAATCTGCTTACTTGTCACTTTTCCCTCGTGTTTATGATCCATACAGCGGCTTATGGAAGGCGGTTTGGCATTGGGTGGGACCTCAACGAGTCCGTCAATTTTTATGGTTAACGGCTCGGGAAAGGCTCTTGACAAATGAAGAAAGGTATCGGCGTCATCTGACAAGCTCTCCAACTTGCTCTGTGTGCGGTTTGGCTGGAGAGACGACCCTTCATGTCTTACGAGATTGTTGGACGGCGGCTAAGATCTGGCGCAAACTGCTCCCACCTCCTCTGCAGGTACAATTTTTCGGTCTCAACCTCCAGGAATGGCTTTTTTGTAATCTCACAAACACAATGATTGTTCGAGTGGAAGGTTGGGAGACAACTTTTGGAGTAACAGTTTGGAAAATCTGGAATGGCCGGAATGATTATATATTTTCTGGCCGAGAAGTGGTAGTCCCGCACAAGCTGCGAGAGATATGCCACTATACGAAGAATATTGATCTTCTTGTCTCCGTTGAGAAGCGGTTAGGTGGTTCGGGTATGGGGCGACAAGTTCAATGGATAGCGTGGAGTGTTCCTTTACCGAGCGAAGTTAAAATAAATACTGATGGTTTGCTAATTCGGTCTTCAGGGATGGCATCGGCAGGTGGCCTGGTCCGGGATAAGGAAGGTCATTGGCTGGGGGGTTTCGTAATGAATATTGGTTATGCTACTATTACAGGAGCCGAACTATGGGGCTTATTCCAAGGCCTCGGGCTAGCTTGGAAACTGGGATACAACAAAGTTGTTGCGGAAGTGGACAATCAAAGTGTTGTTAGTTTGGTGATGACTAACTCGTATGAGAGTTGTGGAGTTAATGATGCGATCGTTTGGGCAATTCAAGAACTGTTGCGAAGGAGTGGTCTGTGAAGGTGTTCCATTGCTATCGTGAAGCTAATTATGCGGCAGATTGCTTGGCGAACCTAGCCCACACGTGCCCTGTAGGTTGCCAGAGATTGTTTGAACCACCTCTAGAGGTTAAGCCGTGGCTTCTTCACGATGTTGTTGGTGTCGCTCGACCACGGAATATCACCATTTAGAGGTCCCTTAGGCTTTGGCCTCCGTCTTATGTACCAAAAAAAAAAAGTAAATGGTTTGACCGTTGTTTTGTCTTTTTCTGTTATATACTTATTACAAAAAAAACAATGCCCAATAAATAAATAAATAAATATTATGAAAAAAACAAATTGAATTAAGTTGTATATGTTGTGGGATGTTGGATGATGTTGATATAATATATTTTTTAGAAAAGATTAAAGACAAGCTATTAATTTGAATAAAATATAATATGAATGAATGAGATGTGTGTATATATAAGACATAATTTCAAAATTTGTCCTATAATTTGGCCACTTTTCAAAAGACTATCCCGCTATTGGCCACTTTTATTCTTGGTCCTATAAATTGTCCATTTAATCAAATTTGGTCCTTTTCTAATCAAATTTGGTCCTATAATTTGACATTTTGGTCCTTTTGTAATCTCATTTTAATCCATATTCTGGATAAAAAGGACCAAATTTGATTAAAATGTCAAATTATAGGACTAAGTTTGAAAGTGGCCAATGACGGGGTGGTTTTTGGAAAGTGACCAAATTATAAGACCAATTTTGAAATTATGCCGTATATATAATATCAATATTATCATGAATAAAAGTGTTCTTATGTACTTAAATGTTAAAATGTATAAGATTTTAAAATATGTATTAGTTAAATGAGTTGATTTGTCATATTTTTGAAAAACAAAACATATTTATATGGTGATATATTATTCTTTTATTTGCATTATTTTTTAAAATTGGTCACTTGTTTATAAAATTATATTCTATACTTACTATTATAAAAGGACGAGTGTTTTGTAAAAAAATAAATAAATAATGAAATACCTAAAAAAACTCGTTACTTTAATATATTTTTAATGGTAAATTAATAATACACTACTGTCTGTCATATCTTATATTATTATTTAATAACTAAAGAGAGTATTATTAATACTTACACTTTTTCAGCTTCAAATTATTCATTTACTTGTTAATTATTATTATCATCATCATCATCATTGTTATCATTATTATGAGAGATGCTACAGTCCCGTCACGAAATCATTCTGTCGGGGTTTGTAACAATTAGATCAACTATCTTCGACGGTTACAAGATGATCTAACGGTTACAAATCTTGACGGAATTGTTTTGTAACAGAATCGTAGCATTTTATTATTATTATTATTATTATTATTATTATTATTATTATTATTATTATTATTATTATTATTGGGTGAAGCAGATATAGTGGTTGAGCATAAATTGAAGAATAGATGAGTATGAGCTGTGTGAAGTTGTAAAACATCTTTTTCACACCTATCATAAATAGCTTGGCACATAACATGTGCTCATTAAAACATCACCAGCTTGCATCCTTTTTT